AGTTTATCCATTCATTAGAAGCTAAAATATTCAGTAATTCCCTAGAAGAAAAGCAAAGTTTAGAGTGAAGTCTATTGATTCATGTCTTATTTGTGTGCTCTTTTAATGTCTTTGCTGAAAAAACAAACAATAAAATCAATCAGTCTTTGTCTTCTTTGTGCAGCACTTTGCATCGAGCATTTTAATTGACTGTTAAACACTACAAGAAACAGTTGTGTCACCGCTAAAATACGACATCAAATGTCTCTCTCTGTCTCAGCTATATATAGAAAGTAAAGTAAAGTAAAAATGGAGGTAAATGTTGTCTTAAAATGTCTGCTAAAATATGCAGTGATGTACAAGTTTTACAAGAAGTTTTGTGTGGCATGTATATGTTTTTTCTGATATTAAAACTATTAAAAACAATACAGTTTTCCTGGACATTTGATTGAGTTCTGTCTCTCCTGCACTTTTATTCACATTATTAAATTCTATGCAGCTTAAAACAGCACTGTAAATGCACTCTTGTTTTTATTCTGCTTCAACTGACTCTATTCTCCTCTCTATTGTGTGTTCCACTGCATTTCTTTCCACAGTTTAGGCAATGAAAGTCAATCTGCACATCACTTAGTTTACCTAGTCTAATATGGGGTCTCGATCCTGCTTACACACACAATGCATGCCTAAATTAAGTTTTATATGAATGAGAACTGAAATGGTGTAAAGCACCAGCTGCTTAAAAGTATATTTTCCTGGATCTTGTCAAAATCCATCCTGGTGTGTCAGCTGATATCCAGGAAAGTCACGCGCCTCACCTCAGTTATTGTCCTCTCTCTAAGCAGTTGTTTTAAATCTCACGACGACAAGACGTAGTCAATTTGCAAAACAATGACGCCTGCATTAATATGCAGCAGTCAGTTTCACTATTACACTGACACTTTATGCTTTATTATTATACTTTTACTTACTGTTTTACAGCTGTTTAAACCTCTGTGAGTGTTTATGAGTGCTGTTGATGTGCAATCACTGTCTCATTATCTAACTTAAACTTCCTCCATTTAATGTTCATCCTGTTTTTACTTGTGTAATCTTTTTATTTTTAAACCATTTTTTTACTAGCATTGATAGAGGAAGCCTGAGATTTTACATTTCTCTGTAATGTAATGTCACTGTTGTGCGTAACGCTGTAATAAATCAACGTGGGCTAGCAAACGTTAGCAAGCAATAGGTGATGCAATATGCAAAAATTATACATTATTAACTTCACACAGTTTATTAGGACATAGCCAGTAAGTGTATGGCCACTCGGTGGTCACTGTGACATCTATTCTTGAGCTATAACACAAAAATAACAGCACATTAACGTCAAGTCACCTCGTTAGAATAGCAGCTAACGTTATCTAGCTTTAGCATCTCCTGGTAAAGACTTGAGAGAGAGCCAACTGTCCGCTTTTTATTCGACACCACAGGTTCGCCATTTTCAGATTTATGAACTCACTCACCCGCTTCCCGCTGTGAAAACACAAACGACGCAACGCCTGCTTTAGGAGCTGACATTTCAATGACTGCATGATCGCTTCAGCTCAGCTCAGATATTACATAACATTAAGCTAACGTTAGTCAGCAGCGGCTCTTCAGTTTTCAGTTTAAGTCGACGACTTACTGTTTCAAGATTTTAAAACCTGTGGCTTCAAATGGGGACCTCTTCTTGTAGTCCTCCTGGGTGGGAAACGTAGGCAGGAGTGTTTTTTTTCTGCCAAATGTTCAAAAACACCACCTCATTTTGGTGACATTTCCTTTTCCGGGATGATGATTCCCTACTTCCGGTAAAAATATATGGCAGCCCTAATGAAGAGACACCAGACAAAGGCTTCAACTCAAGCTGGAGATACCAATATTAATAGTGTAATAAGGTACTAATTACACTACTTTTGCGTTACTTTTACCAAAAATGACCTCAGAAGAATGAATAGGCATTTTAAATAAATGATCATGTTGTTTCACAGAAGCTCCAGTTTATTACAGTTCATTTCAAATCCAGTGCTGAGCAGGTCTGACACATTCATGCATTCACATGCACTGGTTACCGCTTTGTATTGCAATCCCCTATGGGGTGCCGTTTGTAAAGTGGCTCACACTGAAATTAATAGCAACATTTTGCCACATTTAGCTTCAAATAACATTTAAAAAAGTGGTGTGAATTTTTTTGTCACTTTTTACCACATTAATAGCAATATTTGAAATATGTTAAATATAATGTCACAGTTAAATCTGAATGTTAAATGTAAAATCTAAATGCTAAATCTAAATAATTTAGATTTATATTAAACATTTAGATTTAACATTTAACATTTAGATTTAAGATTTAGGTTTAGATTTAAGATTTATATTTATATTAAACATTTAGATTTAAGATTTAGATTTAGATTAAACATGTAGATTTAACATTTAACATTTAGATTTAGATTTAACATCTAACATTTAGGTTTAACATTTAACATTTAGATTTAGATTTAACATTTAGATTTCACATTTAGATTTAGACTTAGCATTAAGATTTAACATCTAACATTTAGATTTATATTTAACATTTAGGTTTAACATTTAATATTTAGATTTAACTGTGACATTATATTTAACATATTTCAAATATTGCTGTAAATGTGGTAAAAAGTGACTTAAAAAATTCACACCACTTTTTTAAACGTTGTTTGAAGCTAAATGTGGCAAAACGTTGATGTTAATTTCAGTGTGAGCCACTTTACAAATGGCACCCCATAATCCCCTGATTATATTAATAATAGCTTGATGATATGGAACAATTAAATAGCCCAGACTGTTCAAAATAAATTAATATCATTGGTCACAGGGAGGGTCAGGCAGGCAGAGGATCAACACCTAATAATTATGAGATATGGATAGATATTTGTGGACCTGTGGTATGAAACACAATAAACAAATGTTGAGGTTAGCACCCCAAACAGAATGGGGTGCGACTCAGTCATTATGATAAGCGCAAATTAATACAGCAGAGATGCAAAGCACATCTGACGGCCCCAGCTCACCGGGGAGAGAGTTATGCACAAGAACAAGATGTATGCCGCCGATGCTCTGTTGTACACATCCAACATATACTAACATCACCCAGATGTGCCGATCACTAGGATGAGGTAATAGTGAGCAGGAGGCCACTCTGTATCCTCGCTGCTTTCAGGCAGCCTTGGGGCACAAAAACAGAGCGAGATATGTCATTATATTAATGGAAACACAATGAACATGATAATGCACAGTATGGCATGACCCAGCTGTGCCAATCACCAGCAGACCAGACCACAGACTGTATAAATAAGGTAGTTACATGACAACACACAACAACCATTTTTTTGGTGGCACACTGGTGGAAGTGAAGCAGTGTGGATCAATGAAAAATGAAAACAATTAAACAGTTTATTTCAGTTGGTAACGCATTCGGTGACATTGTAAATGTGATACTGTTACCCAAAATTCTGTTTGTAACGCTTTACATTACTTCGTTACTGCTAAAATGTAATATATTACTGTAATGCGCAGCTATGATCATAAAAATTATGTGGCAGTGACTTTTGGCAGTTAATTTTGTAACTACAACAGTTGGAAAAAAATGTGTATCAGACAGAGAAATCAGAATTAGCCTTAACTGCCAAGTACATGTGTACATCATAGGTGCACATACAAGGAATTCAGCTCCGGTATTTTGTTGTTCTCAATGTACATACATAGAAATAGACATACAGCTAAACAAGGACATCTATACTGTATATATCTCCTCTACCAGAGGCCTAGGAGTTTAAGGGTCCTGTGCAGTAATAACATAATACATTTTATTTAAAAGGTGCCACCCAAGGTAACCTGACAGAGCATGATATAGAATATATACACGAACTGGGCAGACACATTGTTGCTGGGATAAGCTTAGTGATACTGTTTAAAGGGGGCACAGAGGGAAGAGTCAGTTTCAAAGTGCTGAAGCCAGTTTGATTAGGTGGGTGTTGAGATGGGATTTGAAGGATGTTGTGCTGTCAGACTATTCTGGCCCCAAACCATATCCAACCAGCATCTTCTCAGCCTGTGTAAGCAGGAAAATATGGCTACCATCCTTATGAGAAGGCGACGGAAATGGATTGGACATGTCATACGCAGAGAGCAGGACAACATCACCCGAACTACCCTTCACTGGACACCAGATGGTAAACATAAAAGAGGCTGACCCAAGAACACCTGGCGCAGGACGGTGGAAGGAGAGCTGAAGGCCCTGCATCACATCTGGGGTTCCGTAAAGACGCTGGCCCAGAACAGACAGGAGTGGAGATCCTTTGTTGCTGCCCTACATGCCAGCCGGGCATAAAGGGCAGTAAGTAAGTAAAAGTAAGTGCTGTCAGACTGTCGAATGTGTGGGGGTAGCGAGTTCCAGTGCCTGGGAGCGGTCAGGTGAAAACCTTGGCAACTGATGTGCTGAGGCGTGAGGTGGAAATGGTCAAAAGAAGATCAGAAAGATAAGTGGAGGCTAGGTTGTGGAGGGCCCTGAAGGTGAGCAGAAGGGATTTGTTTCATCAACCTGGTACTGAACAGGGAACCAGTGTAATTGGAAAAGAATGGGGGTGATGTGATCCGGTGATTTGGTGTAGGTAATGATCCGGGCAGTAGAGTTTTGAATGATGTGAAGTCAAGGCTCTTGATTTGGCTGAGGCAAGTGTCTTAGCTGTTCCTAGGACTGCACTCTGCTGGACAGAGATTTCAAATGTTGTACCTGGAATTTGCTGGAGCCACTCTCCCAGCTTGAGGGTCACAGCCCCTAACGCTCCTGTTACCACTGGGACCACCTTGGACCTCACCTTCCATATCTGCTCCAGTTTTCCTTCAACTAACCCAATGGAGACAGCATTTAGTGGGAGGAGAACATGTAGTGACACTCCTCACCGGCAGGGGGCAGACTGCGGGAGAAGCTGCACCACAAACCTGCAGGGAGGAAAGTAGAAACGGAAGTAAGATTGATATCAACAACCTGAGTTACAACCAACTTAGGCAAAACTTTACTGCAGTTAGGACCGATACATGTTTTAAGTTATTATATTCGACACGAATGCCGTATTATGGGGGAAGTATTTTCCCGCCTGTCGCCGAAGTGGTTTGTTTTTGTGCTGAAACTCAGTGGCTAGTTTAGCCATTTTGGAGCAGCTAAGGTAGCTAACTTTCTGTCAGCGTGAATTCATTTCGACAGCCTCAGTAAACAGCAGTCTAATATGCGCAGGTTTTGCTCTGTGTTTAGTTTTAACAAGGTTGCAGGTGTGGCCGGACTGTCTGCTCGCTGTCGCTGACACGTCCCGGTAGTTTTGACAGTGCCCCGGTTTGCTCGCAATGCTCCTGCAGCTGCTCCCACCTGTCAACTAGCTGGCTCCTCTCCTCCTGTCTGCCGTCAATGGCTCACTGCGGCTCCTCCGAGCCCATCGCTAAGGTACAGGCACCGCGTCCCGACAGCACCAAGCCGTCACAGGGTACCGTCGACCAGAGCATGAAGCCGGTGCTGTTCGAGATCTTCGGCGAGATATGGACCGTCCAGTCTCGGCTCGGCCAGGGAGTCTCGGCCTCGGTGTACCGGGTCAGCTCGGGCAGAGCCACCACCGCGGCTGTCAAGGAGTTTCAGGCCGACACTCAGGGAGGAGATTACGGGTATCACAAGGAGAGGACCGTGCTGGAAGGCATCCAGGGACATAAAAACATAGGTAACAACATTATTTCACTATTGTACGGCCATCACAGTTACATCAGTCACTTACTGTCTGCAATACTGTGACACCAAACAACCACTGCTCATGTTAGAGACATTAGTGATACAGTTCTTAATGCACCATTTTCTAACATGCACATATCATCTCTAACTGTCAGCATAAATGTTTGCATGTACATACTGTACTTCAGGGATACTCACCTTGCTTTAGCCAGGGGCCACTTTTGCAATATGAGGCCAGGGGCCAGTTAATAAACATTAATAACAGTTCAGTCAGGAACACTTTTGTCAAAGAAAACTTTATTTCCATTTGCAATATCATATTTGGCGCTGTATTATATTTGGCAGTATGGCTCTGTTCTGGGGCCCCTCTGCCGTTCCTCGGGCCTACAAGAAAGCCTTTTCCACACGCCTGCATGGAAAGCATAAGGCGGAAATAGCACACCTCTCTGCCCTTCCACGTGCAAATGAGGAAAGTCTGAGGCAGAGAGAGCAAACAGAGCAGAGAGCAGCAGCAAAGACCCTGGGAACAGAACAGAGCAGCATCAATGACAAACAGAAATGACATTGATAAGTCAGACACAGCATGAAAAGGAGGAGCTGGGGTGGAGGCAGGTTGCAATTGCAAAGCAGCTTGCAGAGGAAGCAGCAACAGTAGGCAGGCCAGAGCAGTTTAGGCATCCTGAATGAGATCGGTTGCATAGAAAGGAATCATGTGATCTATCAGCTGCTCCATCAGTTGATTGGGCTGTTTGAGATCAGCTGATGTAGCTGGGCTGTGAGCTGAGCTTGACATCGTGTCCTGCCTTAATTAACGCTATGCTCAATTTAGTACAATATATAATAAATGAATTGCCTGTTAAGAACGTTTCGATGCTTGCTGCCCTCACTCAAATCGACTCAGGGGTGTTTCTAGGATTTGAGGACGTTCGGGGCTCCAAGTATCCCCTGAACCTCAAGGTCCTCCACTGCCACTTTTTACCTTTTTATCAACAAGCTCCATGTTGATGCTTTTTCTGCGCCCTGATACATTATCCACATTCACATTACAAAAAAAATGCTGGTATGAATTTGTGAAGAAAGAAGAAGAAAATCCGCACACTGAATTAAAGCTCCCAGTAAGTTAAAAAAAAGGCTGGCTGACTTCCACAATCCAAAGCCATCCAAATGGTCTTCCTCAGGCAACTTCAAAAGGAAGTTTTGAAGTTGCCTGAGGAAGACCATTTGGGTCGAAACGTTGCTTTTTTAGTCATTAAAAACTTACTGGGAGCTTTAATTCAGTGTGCGGATTTTCTTCTTCTTTCTGCATGGACCCCTATTATCCAGCCCCTGACCTAAAGCAGGATTGGATGTGCGCACAACTACTCTGTCTTCTATGAATTTGTGAAGAAAATGGTTGGCGGGCCATCTATCACCTTATCCTGATCCTAAATGTGTCTCTCAGACCTTAAGTTGAGTATCGCTGCTGAACATTTTCATCCAGCCCATCATGTATATCCATTCAGTATTTATTTATGCCAGTCATTTGTGGTATACACCTGGTAGAATATTCTGTAAGACTATTTACAAATATATGTCCTGCTTTTTAATTCTGCAATATGATCTAACCTATGAAACAGGATTTGATTCCAGTAAAACAGGCTTTCAAATTTGTGTTTGTTTGTTCTCCTCCCTTCAGTGACACTGTACGGGGTGTTCACCAACCACAGCTGTATGGGTGTTGCCACCCGTTGCCTTTTGCTGGAGCTCTTGGATGTCAGTGTGTCTGATCTGTTGGTGAGAGGCATCAGTGGTACCCAGGGTGGTCGGTAAGTAAGGTGATGTTTCTGCTCTGTGATACATGTTTCATGTGCCCATCACAAATGAAAAAAAAAAACATCTACTTGAATAAAAATGGTTCAAACCTTCATATATTTAAGAGTGCTTTAGCTTCCTTTTTAACTTAATGTTAGCATTTTATTTCGGCAGACCCCAGCAGGGCCACTCCATGTGGCTTGTCCAGCACTGTGCCAGAGACATCCTGGAGGCTCTCGCCTTCCTTCACAGGGAAGGCTACGTCCATGCTGACCTCAAGCCACGCAACATTCTCTGGAGTGCCGATGACGAGTGCTTCAAGCTCATTGACTTCGGCCTCAGCTTCAAAGAGGGAAACCAGGTGGGTGTGCCTCGCAATTTGAAGGTCACTAATAGAGTATCTGCGATAACTGTATTTCTAACTCTCTCCCTGCCTCACCTCCTCCAGGATGTCAAGTATATCCAGACAGACGGGTATCGCGCCCCAGAGGCCGAGCTTCAGAACAGCCTCGCTCAGGCTGGGGTGGAGGTGGAGGGGGACTCGGGCTGCACGGCCGCCATAGACCTGTGGAGCCTTGGCATCATCCTGTTGGAGATGTTCTCAGGAATCAAACTCAAAGACACCGTCCGCTCACAGGAGTGGAAGGTAATGATGACAATAAAGATTTAAAGGGACAAGAAGGTCTCAAAATGTATGAATGTAGAGAAAGAAAAAAACATAAAGTAAGAGGAAATATCTCTTTATAAAATAAGAAACTGACACTGCAGGACTTAATTATTTAAATAAAGGAAGTTTGTAGAAGTTTTGAATCATCTGTTGTCAGTAAGGAAACGTCTCATAGAGCAGAACCTCACGTGCAAAAGAAAAATCGATCTTCTTTGATTTGTTTCCCTCTCCTTTAGGACAACAGTGCTGCCATTGTCGACCATCTTTTTGCCAGCAACAGTGTGGTGTGCCCCGCCATCCCTGTCTATCACCTCAGAGACCTTATCAAAAGGTTCGCTCTCACACACTCAGCTGGCGTTTCAGACTGCTTGGATATGATTACTGTTATTCACTATACTGTGTTGGCATGCTATCTGTGTAAGCAGAGGAGTGTTGTCAGTACTTTTGTTCCATTGGACTTTTGTCACGTTGTGTCTGCAGCATGCTTCTCAACAACCCAAAGCAAAGATGCACTGCTGAAACTGCCCTGCTGAGCCCATTCTTCAGTATTCCCTTTGGTATGTGTCAATATTTGAGACTTCCACCAGGATTAAGACATCTCGAAGTGAACCATATTTAATCAGTGTGCTTGTGTGTGTGTGTGTGTGTGTGTGTGTGTGTCAGCTCCTCACATTGAGGACCTGGTTCTGCTGCCCACTCCAGTCCTGCGTTTGCTCAACCTGATAGATGACAGCCATCTGCACAATGAAGAAGAGTACGAAGGTACAACAATGCGTATGTTTTCTGTCTTTAAATTATGAATGACTTGTGCCTAGTTCAGACTGAACTTTAGCCCTGATTTTCCACTCATTCCCCAACTAATGCCTCAGGTTGGAGGCAAATCACCGTCGCCTCAGTGCTTGCACTTGAGCGCTGAGTGAACTTTTCAAAGACGCAAGTCGAGAGCCTCGACAATGCATCGCAAATGTCTCACAGGCTAAATATCTGGACCTGTCAGGGAGCTACAGCCAGTAAGAGCACATGACACGGCTTGAGGGAGAACCTAGGGTACAGGTCGCCTGGAATAATAGGAACTTTACCATATGTGCTTTATTTGCTACACAGACCAAAGCTGTTTTTGCACCTAGAGGAAGCAGGCCATGGTTGCTTTCAGTAGTACCCATAAATTTGGGACTACTTTGTTATCACATTGCACCTTTAACTTTGAGCCTCATGCTCATATATTCGTTGCAATCGATAATGTGAATTTAAGTATATTGAAATATTGATTACACACACAAGTCACAAATAAGATACGGTACTCAGACGATGTGACTTTGGTTTCAGCTGTACAGAGAACTAGGGGTTGGAATAGCTAGAAAAGCATACTTGCACGTGGTATCACATCATTTCTCGTGTCACTTCTCGCATATGGTTTTTGTGAAAAAGGTAGTTTGGAGACCAGACAAACTTATCTTGGATTTCTCTTGTGAAAGATCTCGTAGTGTGTGAGCCGTGTTGCCCCTCAGTTATGTATGGTGAAAACCAAAACGACTTCAAGTCTCCATATAAGAGACCAATATGTGTAGCGTGAACAGAACAGCGGTCTGATGACTTTGAAAGTCGTGCTGTCTGAACTAGGCAGTGGTTAATTACTGAGTTGATTTCCTGTTTATTTATCGTATATAGAGGTACGAGTAAGTCAAAATGTCTGCCATTGTGTCTTCCAGACATCCTGGAGGACATGAAAGAGGAGTGCCAGAAGTATGGCTCTGTGGTTTCTCTGCTCATCCCCAAGGAGAACCCAGGGAAAGGACAGGTTAGACTGTTGATCTATGAACCAGCAATCTTCAAAAATGTTTCAGTTAAACTACAGGAGTCACAGGGAACTCTCGGAGTTAGAAATATTTGTTTTACAGCTGCATTAAACATACAGAACCTCCACTGTGTTTCAGATGTACAGACTTCATTAGGTTGTAGCACACCAAACTTTATGAAGACACATTTTGTACAGTAAAATAATGATTTAAAAATTTGTGTAAAATATGAGGGAAAGGTGCCAATGTACTCTTTTTTTTCAGTTCAAGTAGATTATAAAGATGATTCTAGCAGTATTTAGCAGTATTATTCTGTTAATTGACTTCATTAATACAGGTACCCTGACTAAAGTGATACAGTGGTCTCTTCTTTACTCACCTACCCCCTAATGTTCACTGGGTGCAGCTGCATGGTTTCTATGACTGCCTATAAAAGCTTGTTGTTATTGAACTTGAAATCATTATTTAATAGTACGTATCACTGTTAGTGATGTCGTCTCAACATATTTTCAGCAAATCAAAGCTGCAGCCATCATGGTTGTTTTCGAAAATGTCTCAACAGTGCTCCTCTTTACGGTCTTCGTCTCAAAAACATCCCATATTAGATAAACGGTTGTGATTGGGACAGCATGTCTCAGGCCGCTGGAAATCCTCCAGACTGGCAGATTCATCTGGTTTCTTGGAGAGAATAAAGGCCAGGACATCTGCTGCATCTATAACTGCATGGAAAATGCGAAGTTGGGCACTGGGTGCAACCCTTGTGCCTACTTGGTACAAACATTCAAGGGCTCACAGGCAGCGCTGAAGAATATTTAGGAATTTAGGATACTGTGATTCAAGGACTTTTAAGTCATTGGTGTGTCGGGTAGGACAGATAAGCACACGCAGGAGGTTCCATTTCAGTCTTTTATTTTAAGGCAGTTTGAGCTGGTTTAAACCAAAGAAAAGAATAAAGAATATTAAACATCATGATTCCTGATTTGGAATAATTAATGATCCAACAAAGGTAAATTAACTTTATACAAAATAACTATAAACATAGGAAATAAAATCAGGAAATAACTTAAACTTAACTTAAGCAACACAACAGATGAATAATGATCTTGTAAGGTTCATATACTAGATTTAAACAACTGGATGAGGCGGCTCCTTTGTTCTCCAGAGAAAAGGATTGCCACCTGTGAGCTGCTGCTACATTTAGACTCTGGGCTCTGCTCATCCAGGAAGAGGGAGGCAGGTAGGAGTGGTTGGGGATTTTCCATAAGCACCACATCATATCCTACTTAATTGAAATCCCGAATTCTGAGCTGATCTTCTTCCAGTGCGTATTAAAATACAGTCCATGGGACAGATGTAAAGCTCTGGGTAGCCCTGAATGTTCGACGTCTCCCCAAGATATCTGCCAGACATGCAGGACACATTGCTGCGATCCAAAAGTTGCTGCCTGAAAAACAAGTGCTTGGGAACACTTGCGTGCCGCTACGTTGTGACTCTCGCTTTTGAGTGTCTCATCGGTGCATCTACATCTACAACAGTGGATTTGAAGGGGTAAAAAATGTGGCATGTGTACGGGCCCTTTGCTTGTTAAACAAAAATGTAACATGTATGTATTCTAGTGGACTCTGATCCGCAACGAAGCCATGGCACGACCAGAGCACATTGCAGCTACATCCAGTCAACATCGGGGGTTACATACATTCATTCATTCACCTACTAATTTCTCAACATGTCCTGTGTGTGGCCATCAGGTGTTTGTAGAGTATGCCAACTCCAGCGACTCCAAAGAGGCTCAGAGGCTGCTGACGGGCCGCACCTTTGATGGGAAGTTTGTCGTGGCCACCTTCTACCCTCTCAGCGCTTATAAAAGAGGTTACTTGTACCAGACTGTGCAGTGAAGTCCTGAAGTTCAATTTACACCTCTGCACTGTTTGCATGGAAAAACACAACTGCATAAGCCACCACTGGGGAGAGCTCATTTTCTGCCTTTGAAAATAACCACCACAGGTCATGAGTGGCTGCCCTGCAGTTTGAGTTCAGATGATTCAGTTATTAGTAAGTGTAGTTCAAAGTTCTGCATGTGTAGTTTTCTACGGTCAATCTGTTTCACGCAGAGTGTAAATTGAACTCAGCTGTGAGGAATAAACAGCAACACTTTATTTCTGCTGCTGCCTCCAGTCTGTGCGCTAGTCTTTATCAGTGCATATCCCTCTAGTGCTTCAAGGTGACCTGCACCTATCTCATTTAATGACTCCAGGCCAGAGGTCTGTTGTCTGGGTACAGCAGTTTCTGTTCTAGCTTCCATTTCACCATCATTCATTTCTAGAAATTACCACACTGAAAGAATGAGTAATTAGGACAAGTAAAATCTTCTCTGATGTGGGTTGCTAGAACAAAAGTCTGAGTATATGTGCTTCACATTACATCTAAAGAGTTTCATATCTGTAGACCAAGTGAAACACTTAATCTCATCAGTTGAGTCAGGGATATGAGAAGAAACATGTAGCAGGATAACACTGATCTCTCAGTAGTATGAGTGGGAGTTTTATGTCTGTCAAACCTGAAATAATATTAAATCTTAGGTTATTATTTCTTAAGTTGAACGTTTAATGAGAGGAATCAGCATGGTACAAGGGGATTATACAGGTGTCCTCTGCTGGCTCCTCAGGCTGTTTTCAGGGAGAAGTGGTTTGGAGTGACCCCCCTCCACCAGCTGGTAGTTTTCACTCAGTCTCTGCCATTATCTGAGCAAGCCAAGGGGCCCTAGTGCCCTGCCCTGTAGCCTTATGCTTTGTAGCTTTTTATTTTCAAAAGTCTACATACTCAGAGAATATTTATATCATCCGTTGACTTTGCTCCCATTTATATGGAAGCCCATTGAAGCAAAAGAGTGGAAAGAAAAGATCCTGTGAGTCACTGTGAGAAACTTTCTTGAAATAATAGTATCTGATTTAGTATCTCCAAATAACAGTATCTCGAAATAATGACTTAGTACTTCAAAATAACGCCTTAGTATCTCAAAATAATGACTTAGTTTGTCAAAATAATGACTTAGTATCTTGAAATAATGACTTAGTACTTCAAAATAATGACTTAGTATCTCTAAATAATGACAGTACTTCAAAATAATGACTTAGTATCTCAAAATAATGACCTAGGATCTTGAAATAATGACTTAGTATGTCAAAAAACAACTTAGAATCTTGAAGTTATGACTTGGCATCTCAACAATGACTTAGTATCTCAAAAAAATACTTTTTATCTTGAAATAATGACTAAGTATGTCGACATAATGACTTGCTTTCTCGAAATTTTGACGTAGTATCTTGAAATAATGACTAAGTATCTCAAATTAATGACTTAGTATCTTAAAATCACGACTTAGTATCTTGAAATAATGACTCATTATCTCAGAATAATGACTAAGTGTCTCGAAATAATGACTGAGAATAAAAAATGACTTAGTAATTCAAATTAATGACTTAATGTTTCGGAATAATGACTAAATATGTTGACAATGACTTGGCATCTCAAAATAATGACTTAGTATCTCGGAAAAATGACTAAGTATCTCAAAATTATGACTTAGTGTTTTGGAAAAAAATGACTAAGTATCTCAAATTAATGACTTAGTATATTAAAATCATGACTTAGTATCTCGAAATAATGACTTGGCATCTCAAAATAATGACTTAGTATCTCGAGAAAAAAAATGACTAAGTATCTCAAATTAATGACTTGGTGTCTTAAAATCATGACTTCGTATCTCGAAATAATGACTTCGTATCTCGAAATAATGACTTAGTATCTTGAAAAAAATGACTAAGTATCTCAAATTAATGACTTAGTATCTTAAAATCACGACTTAGTATCTTGAAATAATGACTCATTATCTCAGAATAATGACTAAGTGTCTCGAAATAATGACTTAGAATAAAAAATGACTTAGTAATTCAAATTAATGACTTAATATCTCAAAATTATGACTTAATATCTTGAAATAATGACTTAATGTTTCACAATAATGACTAAATATGTTGACAATGACTTGACATCTCAAAATAATGACTTAGTATCTCGGAAAAATGACTAAGTATCTCAAAATAATTACTTAGTATTAAAAAAACTAATAATTCAAATGAATGACTTAGTTTCTTAAAATCACGACTTAGTATCTTGAAATAATGACTTAGTATCTTGACATAATGACATGATGTCTCGAAGTTTTGACTTATTTTCTCGAAATAATGATCTAGTATCTCAAATGATCACTTAGTATCTTGAAATGAAGACTCTGTGACTCGAAACAAAGACTTAGAATCTCAAAATAATGACGTTGCATCTCAGAACAAGTATCTTGAATCAATGACTGGGTATTTCGAAATGATGACTAAATATCTGGGTATAACGACTTAGTATCTCGATATAATGACTTAGTATCTCAAAGAATTTGTATCTTAGTAATAATGATTAACTTTCTTAAAATTTTGGACCTTCCATTCATGATGGTAGACCCAATATTTTGAGATACTAAGTCTCTATTTTGAGGGAGTATATCATAACGACTAACAGGATCTTCTTTTCATCACATTGGCGGAAATATGCTTCCATACCTTTATGAGGACATACAGTGAGTTTTGTGTTTTGACTACAACACTGAACAGCACATGAACAAGTGAATATTTTTGAGTGCATGCTGAAAATGACTGATGTATGAATAAAATCTGAAAATTTTCCAGTTGGAAAATGAGTGTATGAACAAAACTAGTAGAAGCTCCAGTAGTGGTAGAAAGTGTCTTCTGACTAACTAAAACCAAGTATGCTTTACTTTTTAGTGACCCTGTAGTCATGGTGTAATGGGAATAACAGTCCAGAGCCAAAGTGCTGAGCAGCCTATAGCTGTTAAGAGTCTCACTGAGACAGGAGGAAGTGCAGATATACAGTAGCCAGTGTACATGTAAGACAAGTGGTTAAAAGCCACTGTGTGTAATGTTTGCAGTGTCTTTAAAATCTTGCTAATGGCTTAGGTTGTTATTTGAAGAAAATGGGGACAATCTAGTGGACGTTGGTGTAGTTTATGTGTCGCTTTGGCCAAAGTTGGACATTTTTGAATCCTGCACATGGTGGCTTTAAAGATTGTGTCGCACTATGCATATGAGACGTGTAGAGAGAATGTTCAGTGGCGACTGCACTAAATAGATTGTTACAGTCTACAAGTGAGACTTTTAATCTTTCAGTTAGTTTGTGCATGAACCAGTGGATTGATACATAGACTGCAAACCTTGCAGAAATATGTTTCACAAAGGTGTCTGTTTTTGGTGAACCCAAAATGCAGGATATAGAATTGTGTCATATCTTTGTCAATGTCAAGAGATGTTGCTAGTTGCATGACTGGAGAGGAAAGTTTTATGAATCAGTAATGTGACAGAAATGTTGTAAATTGTGCAGTCTTGAAATGAAATAATATAATTTTGTTGTGTTATATTGATTCTATCAGGGCAGTGAGACAGCTTTACCGATAGAGTCCAGGAAGAGGCATGATTATGTTGGTTAGCAGTGACAAAGAGTCGTCAAGCTCTGTAATTTTGCAGTGGAATTAGGGCTGCATGATATGAGGAAAATATGCAATATGCAATAACGTTGTTAAATATTGCAATAATGATATTACTTGCCATTAGCTAACTAGCTAAAACACAACTTTGCTTGTTCAATTATAAAATGAACGGAAATTCCAGCATTCTTTTATTGAACAAATTGAACATTGAACTAAACACAAAAGGCACCAATAAAAAAAGAATGATAGTTACATTTTAAAGTGCAGTTTTCTACTGATACTCTCTTTCAGTTAACTAAATAAAATCCCTGACTGCAATATCGCAGTCTTTCATGATGCGTTTATCGCACAGGTCGACACTGCAATCATGCTAAAAAAAGAAAGATATATTGTGCAGCCCTAAGTGGAATGTACTTTTACGTTGTAGATGCATGGATTATTTTGTTCAGTTGGACTGGATATGTAGTATCCGTCACACCAACTCAGTCACACTGAAACAATGTTTTCTACACAAGTGCCCTCTGACATTCAAGCTAGCTACCTAACCAAAATGCTGCTATAACAACAGGTTGTGTAACACCTGCTCGTGTGGATTCCTCAAGTAGCCAAACAGTTGCAGATGCCTTAGAGAATACTTCCCTTCCAAGTTACAAAATGGAGCAGGAAACTATTTTAGCTTCTTCGTAAAGCTGGCTCATTCTTCACTGTATTTTCATTAAAGCCAGACTGTGTATGTTTTACCCAACAGCAGCAACTGCGACTAGAACTGACAATGATGGTATGATGCTAATCCCAGTGTTGGAATTAAGCACCAGCCACAAGCCAAAAGCTGTGGCTGCTAGATTTGCTTCACTCAACAACAGCCAAAAAAAACATTGGGAAATTATTGAGTCACTGTAAGATTTTGGAGTCTATCAGCTTCAGTGGCAGGTGGACAAAATACTAATTCCCATCCCTGGCTCATGCTAGTATTAGCTACAGTTAATGCTAACCTAATGGGTTAGCTAAATTTTGAGCAACTAAATACTAGAAATGCTAACCTACAATTTAGCATTAAAGGGACAGTTAACCCCAAAATGAAAAATACATATTTTTATTCTTACCTGTAGTGCTGTTTATCAGACTAGATTGTTCTGGTGTGAGTTGCAGAGCATGCATCTTCTCATGGACTAGAGGCTTGTGCTTGTGACAGCCTCCTCGGCTGAGCTGTAACGTTAGCAAGCTCAGTGGTGCTAGGTGAGCTAGCAGGAGAGTAGTTGAAACATATAAAACTACTCACATTGTCTTGAGTAATGGTCATGATTTCATGAGGAGTTTTTCAAAATGTATTTTTTTTTTGTGCTTTGAGCACCACAAGCCGAGTCCCATCTAGTTCCATTATATTGGAGAGAAGGCAGACATCTCTATTGCCGATATCTCCAACAGTTGGCAACTCTCACCAAAACAATCTGGACTGATATATAGCACTACAGCTAAGAGAAAAAATATGTATTTTTGACTTTGGGGTGAACTGTCCCTTTAAATACTGCTTTGCATGTACTGTTTACCATTAAGCTAAAATGCTAAGTAATTGTATCAGTCATACAAGTGAAGAAGCTCAGTAATGTGCTTTATAGACCCATATTTACTTTTAAGTTTGCTTATATTAGCTAACAACAGCCACCATAAGTAGGGATGCACGATAATATCGGGAAGTCATTGGTATCAGCTGATATTGGCTTTAAAATGAACTATCTGATTCAGCCAACTTTCTTATTTTGCACAATGAATGAATATTACATACATTGAAAAGCATTGTGTTTCATGTCTCCATCTGCTGGTGGGCCGTCACAATAAGAGAATGCATGCATAATATGATGTTAAATCCACAACAGAAGAGACTTGATGATCACTAAAATTAGGTTGAGAAAAAGTGGATATATCGATATTGGTCAAATGAATTATTACATATCGGCATATCCAATATCGTGCATCCCTAACCATAAGTTAGTGGCCATACACCACTAAGCAACGCTGCAGCAGCAAAATCTGTAGTGTACTGAATTTTGCAAGGGTGTGTTTTATTGCTTGGGTGTTAAACTTTTAATTTGTAAGTGGAAGAATGAGTTATTTCTTTACAGTCTGTAAAGAGCTGCAGCTGGTTCATGTTGTAGAGCACAAATAGAGCCCTGCTCCGTCAGGGTGGGTACTTTGGGTGATTTAAGCATGTTAGAAAAACGTGATGTTCATATAAAATAAGAACATTTTTGACGCGTATGGAGATATAAATCTTTGTCTGTCTGAGACGTATTTTTATTAAATAATGTGTCGTTCCTTCCCCTCTGAGAAAATCTGTTTAAATTCTGCAACTAAAAATATAAAAACAGATTCAGGGCCAAAGTTGCAGGTCTGATCTCAAGTACTACACAAAAAAAACAACATATTTTTCTATCAACTTTATTTGTATG